TTGATTTATTGATTTATTGATTTATTGATTTATTGATTTATTGATTTATTGATTTATTGATTTATTGATTTATTGATTTATTGATTTATCGATTTATTGATTTATTGATTTATTGATTTATTGATTTATTGATTTATTGATTTATTGATTTATTGATTTATTGATTTATTGATTTATTGATTTATTGATTTATTGATTTATTGATTTATTGATTTATTGATTTATTGATTGATTCATTGACTCATTGATCCATTGATCCATTGATCCATTGATCCATTGATCCATTGATCCATTGATCCATTGATCCATTGATCCATTGATCCATTGATCCATTGATCCATTGATCCATTGATCCATTGATCCATTGATCCATTGATCCATTGATCCATTGATCCATTGATCCATTGATCCATTGATCCATTGATCCATTGATCCATTGATCCATTGATCCATTGATCCATTGATGCATTGATGCATTGATGCATTGATGCATTGATTCATTGATTCATTGATTCATTGATTTACTGATTTACTGATTTACTGATTTACTGATTTACTGATTTATTGATTTATTGATTTATTGATTTATTGATTTATTGATTCATTGATTCATTGATTTATTGATTTATTGATTCATTGATTCATTGCCTTATTGATTCATTGCTTTATTGATTTATTAATTCATTGCTTTATTGATTTATTGATTCATTGATTCATTGATTCATTGATTCATTGGTTCATTGGTTCATTGATTTATTGATTTATTGATTTATTGATTTATTGATTTATTGATTTATTGATTTATTGATTTATTGATTTATTGATTTATTGATTTATTGATTTATTGATTTATTGATTTATTGATTTATTGATTTATTGATTTATTGATTTATTGATTTATTGATTTATTGATTTATTGATTTATTGATTTATCGATTTATCGATTTATCGATTTATCGATTTATCGATTTATCGATTTATTGATTTATTGATCTATTAGAATTAAGAACACATATCGAACATCTGGTAAATTCTTTAATAATGACAGCTTAGATATTTGCAAACCTTATCACGTTATAATAAATTCCGTTATAAAAAAAAGAAAAATATATTCAGAGATGGAGTTTTAACAGTTCAAAAGTAAAATATATCAATTCCAAAGAAAATTTTAAAAAGTGTATGACTATTTTAGTAAATACCATTTTAATTTTTTGTTATTTATCACGGCCTACTAATAAGAAAATGATATATATTAAATATTGCCGTAAATAGTGAAAATAAATATAGAGTGATATATATTTTTGAGAAGCTCATAGCAAGGCGGATCATACGATTTATAAATATACAGGGTTTTCTATTTGAAAAAATATAGCTTTAGTTCATATTTTCAAAAATATTTTTTTCGTAGAAAAATAGACAACGCCACTATATTCTACGTAAAAAGTTCTACAAGAATCAGTTTTCACCTTCTCGATATCATCCATAATAACGGAAATACGGTGGTTGTCCCAAATTGCAAAATTTTCGAAAAGACCCTGTAGCTCAGAAACGAAGAGGGCTATAAAAATTTTGTTTACAGCATCTTCCGTTTGACAAAAAAGTGAGACAGGACTGTGCAAATCGCGTCCTCCTATCTTTACTTATAACGGAGATATCGTATGATTTCAACCAAAATGGGACACCCTGTACAACTTATTTGCCCGCCGCTGCTTTCAGTTAGTAAACGTTAAATAAGATTAGACAGAGGTCCGTTCAGTTTGTTGGATAAGGGGGACATGACAACTCATTTATTACCATTAATATTCAGAGCCAGATCTTTACAGTTGGATAAACTAATGCCAGATGTTGGCACGTCTAACTCTTTGTTCGAAATAATTTCCATTTTAATAGAAGTTTCTAGACGAATATAATATTTTTCAACGCCAATCATTTCATGCACTGTTTAAAAATTTCCTTACCTTATAGAAAGAAATATTTCAATAATGGATAAGAGTGCTAAAATTCAAAATTTGAAGTTTGTAAGACTACTAGAAGTACAGATTTTTCGAATTTTGATAATCGGTGAATGTGTTACTGTAGAAAGTAATAGTTATTTTTTATACAAGACGATAAAATGGTATTTTATGGTCGACCGAAAGGATTAATTCACGAGCAATGAAATCGCGAGTGAATTAATTTCGGGAGACGATAATGCAATATTATCGTCGTGTATAAAACAATATTTTTTCCATAGCGAGTTACGTTTTAAAAAATATTCAGAAATTATTATTTCAAGGAATTTATTACGAGTAGAAAAAATATTGTGCTGGGTTGGCGTTGGTTTCTATGTGATTTGACAAATAAATAAAGCTGTCTCTTTAGTTGTCAGTTTTGAGTCAATATTTTTTAATTCTCTTTCGTGTCGATTGCTGATTGAATTAGAGCCGGAAATGGCTCAAAACGAAATAAGTAAATTACCAACAGATATTCAGACTGAGGCGACAAACGCCATATCCAAACTACTTCCATTTAAATCCCGAATAACTTACGAAAAGAAATACAAACATTTTCAAAAATGGAAGCAATTAAAAAACGTGCCAAAAAAAATAAAATTTTTGACCGATCCTCGCTGTTAAAGTATCATTTAATCTACTCTTGCAATTAAAGTACTAATTTATCTACTATTTTTGATAGGTATAAGGCAATTAACAGTTGCTATGGAAAAAATCCAAGTCCAAGAAGAGTACCAAAATGGACGTCACAAGATTAAGAAACGACGAAACTAGATCAAGGGTTCAAAAACGACTTACAGAAGAGTTGCAAACATCACAGAGTAGAGATAAGGGAGACATAAACATCGAATGGGAGAAAATTAAAGACACAATTCTTGAAATAGGAAACAAAGAGTTGGTCTGTAAGAACGAGAAAAAAAAACGAATGGATGACCGATGAAATTATCGAATTAATGAGATTAAGAAGAGAGGCTAAAACCACTGAAAACAACAGATACAAAAGTATACATCGGGAAATACAAAAGAAAGTAAAAGAGACGAAAGAACACTGGTTGAATGAAAAATGTGCCGAAATTGAACAACTGCAAAAAGTACATGACTCCTTTAATATACATAAAAAGGTTAAGGAGATCCCTGGAAATTATAAAAAGAGGAACGCAAATATATTGGTGGATGATGATGGGAACATAGTAATGGAACTGACATCAAAGCTTAAGACATGGAAAACATATATCGAAACGCTGTTCGAAGATGACAGAAATAGACCTTTACCCCCAGAAAATGATATAGAAACCGGACCAGAAATAACAACAGATGAAATAGAATATGCGCTGAAGAACGTGAAGAACGGGAAAGCACCTGGCCCAGACGAACTACCCATTGAAATGATAAAACTGCTTAAGGAAGATAGCTTGGATGCACTTGCTGAGCTCTTCAATGCGATCTACAGATCAGGAACGATACCAACTGGTTGGTGTCGACCTTCATTGTGATTCCTAAGAAAGCCAACGGAAGATTATGTAAAGATCATAGGACAATAAGCCTAATGAGCCCTACACTCAAATTATTTTTAAAAATAATTCACAACCGTGTGTATACAAAACTGGATAACGACATCAGCGATACACAGTTCGGTTTCCGCAATGGAGTTGGCACGAGAGAACCATTATTTAGTATAAACGTGTTGACTCAGCGCTGTTTGGATGTTAACAAGGATGTATACGCCTGCTTTGTGGACTATGAGAAAGCATTTGACAGAGTCCGTCATGAACAACTTATCAAAATTCTGAGAGAAAAGCAAATAGATACCACAGATGCCAGAATTATTGAAAACTTATATTACGACCAAACAGCAAACATCAAGATAGACAGATAAATACACGGAAAACAGCAACATCAAACGTGGTGTACGACAGGGATGTATACTTTCCCCGGTATTGTTTAATATGTACTCGGAAGTCATCATGAGGGACGCATTACACAATGAAGCAGCTGGAGTAGTAGTAAACGGAGTTCCTATAAACAATATACGATACGCAGATGATACCGTACTGCCAGCAGAAAGTATACAGGACCTGCAACGAATGGTCCAGAAAGCGTATGAAACAAGTATCCATTATGGCTTGAATATGAACCTTAATAAAACAAAATTCATGATATTTACCAAAACACCAAATTAAAATACTCAACTGATCGTAAACCATCAGATAATAGAGCGAGTCTATAAATATAAATATCTAGGAACCCTGATCAACGACAACAATGATTACTCATCAGAATTAAAAACGAGAATTGAAATAGCACGTAACACCTTTATTAAAATGAAGCAATTCTTTTGTCGCAAAACTTTAAGTAACCACCTTAAAATACGAATGCTAAGATGCTACATATTTATAATAATGCTCTATGGTATAGAAGCTGCCACTCTAACAAAACAAATGCTTAAAAAGATAGATGCCTTCGAGATGTGGCTTTACAGAAGGGTACTCCGGATATCATACGTTGACAGAATTACCAATGAAGAAGTCTTACGAAGAGTCTCAAGTCATTATAATTATTACAGAAATAAATATGTCTATAATATTGTTACTAACAATTTATAACAAAATTGTAGAAAAGGTTCTTCCAAAGAAACTAAGAAATATAAAAATAGAAAAAAACTATTGGAATAACCGTTGTTTTTTTTATTCCAAACTTTAAAACAGCCTGTGCAATAATTTCGTGTGTAAATTTTCCTAAAATATAATTTTACGGTTAGAACCATGATTCCTCAGCATTTTGTTTTTTGATTCATGTCAATACATACTTTGGTTAATTTTTAAGAGCGAAATGAACTGATCACGTATATTGCTGTTTATTTAAATATATGTTTTGTAGTAAATTGATCATACTCCAATGCAATCACTTTCATAAACACAGATTCAGTCGACGTACCTTACTTATTTCTTAACTTACAAGAAGTTCAAATTGTTCAAGAACAATTTCTTCTATATTCTCTTCTTGTTCCAGGTACGGCAGGGAAGATGAAGAGGTGATGGGTCTGAAGTTCTGTAACGAAGCTGTCATGTGTTTGACCCAACTTTACCCGCCCCCCACGCGGCCTGTCTTCACCACGCCCTTACAGGTCAGTAGCACTCTTACAGAGGGACGTTTATGAAGGGGGATGGATTGGTGAAATTTCACGTCCGAACCAGACGGGAATCGATTAATTGAGTTTTTGCGTTTCTCTCTTGTCACGGAAATGAATTATTAATTTTTATTCTACCGAGACAACGAAAACGTACCTTTATATTTGAATAAATAAGTTATTTTTTAATTTAGTTAAATATTTTGTCTATAAACCTCATGTAGGGCATCAATTGTTATTGTTAATAAAATGTTTTTCTTTGTTCTTTGTGTTTTTGCTTCTGAGGGCGGGAGAAGATGTATCTCCTGAAACAATAAAAAAAATTTTCGGTTAGATGTTGTTCTAGTGGTGAAAAATCTAGAATTCTTTTCAAGAAATGAACCTGCAACAAAGACGACCCAAAACTGTTAGTTTTGGGTCGGTATTTACATGTGTGGAAGTAAATCGCATAGGGATCTTATTAAGTCGGAGTGAGAGAAATGCGACGGTGTGCTGATGCGGCGTTGCCACAAATAGCCGGTGCGCCTTTCTCTATCAAGTAAAGTAAAATCACGATCGCAAACTGCTTATTTTTAAAAGATAACTAGATAAAGTCATTAGATATGTTTCTGAGCATCTCAAATGGAAATATAAGAACATTCTGAAATGGAAATATAAAAATTCTCTCGGTTTTTTATCGAGTATATCACGTTAAAATCGGATTTCAATTTATTTCATTCTAGGATCGCTTGCGTTCGTAGCTTGGTACTCGTCAATTGCATCGCTCGTTCATAATCGAGCGATGTCGGTTATTTCAATAATCGAGTACTCGAGCGAATTTTCGCTCGAGTTATCCCATCACTAGCTAGAACATAAATGGAAATAGTTGAAAAAGCTGAAAATAACGTTGAAAATGGTACGTTTTAGGCTCTTTTTTAGAGGGTTTAAATAAAAGTTCTTTTTAAAAAGATGTTTTTAATTAAAAATTTTATTATACTGTTGCATTGCCAAAAATTCCAACCTCAACCGTATTTTACAGAACAGATATTAAAATTAATAAAAAAGTTTCCACATTTTCCGGATGGTGAGACTATATAAAGAATATTAAAATAAGTTCGCGACTGGCAGTCTGTTCCTATTTCTTGAAATGTGTTTTATTTCGCTCTACCTGATTTATTGAAAAAGGTTCCAGCTGAGGAGTCGGAAATATAACGACATAGAATTTGTATTTCAAAAGTTATCATAATTTGTCGGGATATGATTACTATATTATTTTATATTGTCTTTTCTGTCTGTCTGAGTTTTATTATAGAGAAATATGTATGTAAAATATAACTGTAAATGACATGTAAATCCCATCAAAAATATAAAATTAAAAAGAGAATGCGAGTTATTCCTCTACAAAAAATTGCCAGATTTGATGTAAAACGAAGTCACATTATTGTTATGATTAACAAATTAAGGTTTATGTAGATGTTGATATTATTTAGTAATAATTATTTTTTATTAGAGTATAATCGGTCTTTAATGTTTGTAGAGACTTTTGCGATCTAAGTTTATTTATTGATCAGTTATTGTGTTGCAATGATAAAAATTATACTACCTTATACAGAGTGTCTAGAAATTTATTTTAAATAATTACTAGCTTTAAACGGCAAAAACTTGTTTAATTTAAATGGAATACCCTGTATATTTTATGAGAATCAGATGCACAATTTAATTGTCTATCAAATTGTATTATACCACTTTTTACCTATCCCTTCAAGTTTTCGTAGAAAATGCGTTTTCTTATAATTTAGACCTCATTTATCAATATACCCATGGAATATTGACATTTTAGATTGTTTTTAAAACAACAAATGTACAAAATGTACAGGCTAGTAATATTATCGTATTTAGTAAAACGATGATATTACTAGTCCATTTGTATGCAAAAAGAAAACTATTTAAATCTTTATAAAAGAGTATACCATTAATTAAATATACCACCAGTATTTCCGCCCAAATACTAATTAATTACGTACTTAATTGTGTTCGTTAATTAAATTATTCTAAATAAATGAGGATTTGAATCAGAAACCAATATAATAATAAGTTATGAATTGTCATAACTATGTAGGCATTTGTCAAAAAATGAAATATCATTTTTAAGGTGTTAGTTTTTTTACCACACTGTCTAATACACATAAATAATTCAGTTTTTTAGTATTTGGAGCAATTATTATTAATTAACGCAAACAGTCAATTAATATAGTTTGAATACTGGAATCATATTAATTGATCCTCTTTAAAACAAATATTTAAACAGTTTTTTTTATTTTTTAATGAAATAAACAAACTATATTGACAATATAGTTTGTTTATATGTATCTGTGCTTTTTAAAAATTTGGTACATCATTAAAAATAATCTAAAATGTTAGTATTCCATGGGTATATTGATAAATGAGTTCCAAATTACAAGAAAATGCATTTTATACGGAACCTTGAAGAGATAGGTAAAAAATGGTATAATACAATTTGATAGACAATTAAATTGCGCATTTGATTCTCATAAAATATACAGGGTGTTTCATTTAAATTAAACAAGTTATTGCCGTTTAAAGCTAATAATTATTTAAAATAAATAATTATTAGCTTTATACACTTATACACTCTGTATAAGGTAGTAAAATTTTTATTATTGCAACACAATAACTGATCAATAAATAAACTTCAGTAAATATTTAGTATTAAAAACTTTGATACTGCAGTTTCACAAAATTGAAAATATTTCAAAAACGGTAAGGTTTAAGTGTAATAAACCTTAATCAAATTTACCTTTATTTTAATCGTAGAAACTAAAAATGCAATAATATACAGGGTGTTCCCTTTAAAAAAATACAACTTTGATATTTTTTTTTATTTGGGACACTCTGTATCTTGTATAAATATTTTTAAATTATAGCTCTAATAGTCCTTCAACGAACCCAAAACTTACAATTTGTAAAAATCTAATCGTTTAGCTACAATACTCCGTGTCGTATGTGGTGAACAACCCTGTATAATTTACTTATATTTGTAGATAAGTTACAGTAAAATAATTTAGCTACATTATACTAGCTGATATTGTGATCTGACAGGAACTGAATTTGAACCAATATTAATTGTCTTCAATTCCTTTTTTGCATGTTTTTTTTTGATTATTATTATTTATTTGTAAATTACATTTGTTGTAAATGATATTCATGCAAAATAAGCATTTTAGGACATACATTTATACGAACATTTTTACTTAGTTTTATTTGCAGAATATGCTGCGGAATGTTCCGGAATAATACAGTTCAGACCACCCTGTATTATAGGTTAATTCTAGTTCAAGCGATCTATTTGTCAATTACCTTCTCTTTTTTCCAAATTATTTTTAATTAGACATAAGTTATAGCCTTGGTAAGATATTATACATTCATGTAACAACACTCTACCCGAGAAAGTTTCCATATAATGGAGCTTGTTACATACCTTAATAAGTTGCTAAAACCACAAGAAAGTTTTATAGGTCCATGCTTAAAGGGAGATATTATAAACTTTAACAATAAATTTGCTTTAATGATCTGAAAGGTATAGAAGAACCCGATTTTGGTCATTAATTTTGGGGCGATGAGGTTTTTTTACTGTTGAGTTATACCTACCATGAAAAAAAAACCGCGTCAAAGACCCTAGACGTAATTTATTTGGCTCGTACATTTTTTTTATATTTTTTAATGGAGCTTAATGTCAGTTGGTCTTAAGACGGTTGTAATTTATGTTTATGTTGAGTAAAAATGATTTTTAAATGGTTTAGTTTAAAATTTGAGAAAAAATATTTTTTTTTGGAAATACAGTTGTGTGTCTAGAGACTGACCTCACCAAAATTATTATGGATTCTCATTCCCCAGTCGTCTTCGACGTCGTTTTTTTTCGTTCATACGGATTTTTTTTGTTCAAAGTGTAGTATAACATACCCAGGGTCATTCAACAAGTTAAGAAGGTTTGGTTTGGTTGCGAATTTATATAGTTTATAATCATCTGCTGATGATGCTAACATGGTTAGCGAAACGCGCGTCCAGTGTAAAAGTAAAAGTGTTTTGGTGTATTGTGGTGATTTAGTGTTTTATTTGACAGAAAAATAGAATATATCGTCCCATTGTTGCCAAAAGTCACTAACTTACTTTTTACTACTTCCGAGAAAAATGCGTCTAAAGATGAATTGCATTGCATAAAGATGTTATAGTTAGTAACTATTCGGTATTAAAATAAAACATAAATAGCCAGAAATCTTAGTTAATTACTTTTGCAATCGATTCTCCGCTTTAAAACATAGTTAGTGATTGAATTTGGTTGTTCGGAAAAATGTTAGTTAGTGACTTTTGGCAGCAATAGGACGATATGTTTTAGTTAACACTAGTTAAATAATGAGGAAACATTTACTTTACCTTTAATAACGTTCTTTGTCTCAATAACCAAAACTCACAAACCAAAAATAATATCAATGCGTCTCGAACGGTAGTTTAAAAGGTATTACGTAACACCTATCATCTCTGTTCGCCCTCTCCCTAGTTTGCGAATAAATATTTACAAAATCAATAATTATGTATGTATACAGAGTGTCTTAAAACTGAATGTTATAATTTAAAGAAATATGTTTATTTTTAGATAGTAGGGACATCTCCAAAGATATAGTATGATGGTAAATTATATAAAATAGCCTCCATAGCAACTGTTAGGTTAGGTTAGTTAAAATTGCCTTATATCTTTGAATAAGAAGACTAAGGAAGGAGCATAATGCTATCCATGTATTCATGCATGGTGGGCGGAAAAGCAACCATAAAAGCTCTCTAGGGTGGGGATCCTTGACAGTTCTGTTTGACGATTCATTTGACACATTTGAATTTGATTTGACATTTTGTGAATTTGTCAGTCTTTACGGAGCTTATTTTATGTTATTTATTATTTATTTTACTACTGATAGTTGTATAAAGGTAGTAAATCTAGATGGAAA